TCTAGTTGGCAAGAACCTCTCAGTGATTTGGGGAGCCCGATGGGGACTGGTTACCTTTTTCTGCACGATGCCGTATTTCAGCTCCGGGTTTTCATTGAACGTGAAACTCTGGATTTTCCACTCTTCGTTGAAGCATCCAAGACTGGAGCCGAAAAGCAGAGTTTTCAGGTCCTTTGATGAACAGAAAAAGAAAAAGTGGGTGAGGCAGTAAGAGAAAGAGCAAACATGAAAGGAGAAAACTCTTGTTTTCATTTGGGAAATAACATCAAATGACAGGATAGAGAGAGACTGAGAGGCGCCATTTTAAACCAGGAAAGACAAAACTGGAGAACATACATACAGGTAGTCCTTGACTTACACTGATTCATTGAGTGGCCATTCGAAGTTACAGCAGCACTGGAAAAAAAAGTGTTTTAATGCCATTTTTCACACTTGCAACCGTTGCATGGTCACATGATCAAAATTCAGACCCTTGGCCACTGATTCATGTTTACAAAGGGGTGTGTGTGAGTGCGTGTGTGTCCCCTAATCCCCTTTTGCGACCTTCCGGCAAGCAAAGCCAATGGGGAAGGTGGATTCACTTAACAACCGGGTTACTAATTCAACAACTGCAGTGCTTCACTTAACAACGGTGGCAAGGTTGTAAAATGGGTCAAAGCTCACTTAGCAACAGAACTCTCACTTAGCAAATTTTGGGCTCAGTTCTTGACTCGGATGCCAGAAATTCTGCCATTAACCTGGCAGGTTCTCCTCATTCCTTCTTTTTCCTCATCGCGTTGTTTCAGCAAAAAATAATAATAATAAATGAACCAGGGCAAAGCAAAATGAGGTTTGGCTGCAGGTCCCTCATGCACTTCTTAGCCTCTTTCGGGTTTTCAAGTTTAATCGTTAAAACAAAACCTGAGAGAATGGCTGCTCAGGAATCTGCCCTTAATGCCAACTTGCGTTGGCTTGGCGTTTCTCCAACCGGCAAACACTTTTAATTTTTCTCCCAGGGGTGGTTTTTCAAAAGGCAACTGGGGGGGAGAAAAAAAAACGAAAACAAAGGAAGTCCAGTTGCCTTTTGAAAAAGCACCTTTGTGACAACCATGGCCTGGATGACCGAGAACCTCTTTTTAAATTTTAACAGATTAACAGAGTTGGAAGGGACCTTGTAGGTCATCTAGTCCAACCCCCCACCCAAGCAGGAGACCCTGCACATCCCTGACAAATGGCAGTCCAATCTCTTCTTGAAAGCCTCCAGTGATGGCGCTCCCACAACTTCCAAGGTCAGGCTGTTCCATGGGTGGATTGTTCTCCCTGTCAGAAAGTTTCTCCTTATTTCCAGGTTGAATCTCTCCTTGTTCAGTTTCCATCCATTATTCCTTGTCTGGCCTTCGGGTGCCTTGGAAAGTAGCTTGACCTCCCTCCTCCTCTCTGGGGCAGCCCCTCAACTATTGGAAGACTGCTATCCTGTCTCCCCTGGTCCTTCTCTTCCCTGGACTAGCCAGGCCCAGTTCCTGCAACCTTCGTTGAATGTTATTTAGCCTCCAGTCCTCTCCTCGTCCCGGTTGCTCTTCTCTGCACTTTTATAAGTAGTCCTCAACAAACACACACGTTTAGCAAACTCTCCAAAGCTGCAACGGCACTGAAGAAAAGTGACTTACAACCAGTGTCCTTGTGCTTACAGCCATCACAGGATTCCCGTGATCAAAATGATTTGTTTAGTGACCGCTTGAAGTTGCAACAGCAGCGAAAACTGTGACGTCCCGTGTTCGTGGCAGCATCCCCACAAATTGAGGCGCTCAGCAAACAACACGGTTTTATGACATGTAGAAATCATAGGATCATCACTTGGGGTGGGAGGGTCTTCCGACAAACACAGTCAAATCCGAAAAGCCGGATTTGCATAAGGACCATGTGGTTCACTTAACAACTGCAACGATTCGCTTATCGACAGTGGCGGGAAAAAGAAGGTCTTAAAATCAAGCACAACTCACTTGTTGAGTGACTCATAAATCACCTTGCCTAGCAATAGAAATGCTGATCCCAGTCATAAATCAAGGACTGCCTGTCTAATTTATTACTAAAAGGGCCCCGGTTCGTCTCGGCTGCAAGGAACATTAAAGAGAGCGACAGGGAACTTTGCAATTTTCAATGCTCCAGCTAAGCATTAGCAAGCTTTAGCTGAAGGGGATTTATTTCCTTAATATCAGTTTAATTGAACTAAGGCTGAAGAGAAGAGCTGAGATAATAAAGCTTTTATAATAGTTGAAAAAAAAAAGGCTGGATGGAGAAAGAATTAACAAAAATGGGGGGAAAGCTTTTTAAAGAATATAGTGTGTATTATAAGAATGTACCAAGCAGAATTCGATTGGAAGTTATGTATTATGTATTACATTGAAGGTCATAACCTTAAGGTATATATTGAAGTTTAAATAAGAGTTGAATGGATGTAATTAAAACATATAAAGGTGTCATACTCCAATTAGTAACTACAGGAGAAAACTTGTTTAATGAGAAAAGATAACATGAAATTGAAACAGAACAGACAAAAATATAAATATAATGATTTCAATTGAGATGAGATAATCAAATTAAAATCGAGAAAATCAAAAGAGGGGAAAAACTATACAGAAAATGTAAAATAGTATAAGATATGGAAAAGAATACAAAAAGGAGCATGAAATTGAGTTTTGTGTCTGTATAAAGAAGTTCAACCCGGGACCATGCTATTTTCAAAAAAAGATGTTTTACTTGCATTTTGTATGTGTGAAAACCCAAATAAAACTTTATTTAAAAAAAAAATGGGGATAAAGCAAAATCATTCTGATACTGAGCTTTGGGCCCCTTTGGGTTCAAACTGTGGTTTGGTTAATTGTGGTTCTTCGACCAAACTATTATTGGTTAGGGTGGCAAGGTCCCAATTATAAAAACATAATTGGCAGAACACAATATGAGGTCCTCGACTTACAACAGTTTGTTTAGTGCCGTTCAAAGTCGAGGACTATCTATACGGACAATTTGCTGATAAATTTTTACAGGGCAATTTTAGTCAGGAAGAAAAAATTAGAATCATATTAAGTTGCGTTTAACGTGACTTATTGATCATGCCTACTCACAAGAGGCATGAGCCGATCAAGGGTCAGAAATTTGTCACTAGATAAATGTCAACTGAATTTAAACCTTTTGTGGTAACCTCGTGATTCTAGACTGGTGACTTGCTTGTCTCCTCCCCCAGGGTTGTTCTCCTACAATTTGGCACATTTAGCTAAGAGCAAAAGAACAAACAGGAAGAACGAAAGCAAACAGAGCCCTTGAGAATTAGCATGAAGAAAGCTGGTCCTTCAGATTCTGTGGAGTCCTTAATGGTCTCAGAGCTTAGTTGTTTGCTTGCAGATGTTTCACAACCCAACTAGGTAACATCATCTGGTTAGCGAGTATATGGTTGCTCATTGTTTATATATAATAGCTTTCATTGGCAGTGTTGGCGAAGGAGAGGTTTTCTCATTGATTTTGATAAGGGTATTACTTTCTGCTTGACTGTCTGGTTTTAATCCCTGCTTATCTGTTGTTAGCTGCTGGAGGTGGTGGCATTTTTTTTGGTCTTTTTGTTTCCTTCTTGGTTTTTTATTCTTTCTTTTGAATGGTGTGTAAATATTGTTTATCTCTATGTGCCTGTTGATGGCTGATGGGTCTGAGTGCCAGACTTCCAGAAATCCCCTATTCCTCTCCCCCCCACATTCAAATTCTGTCCTGTCCTTTGCCAAACTTAATGCACAGCTCACCTTTGCAAGAACGAAATCAATGGGCTTGGTTGTCACTTGACACGCATATAGAATCAAAGGTTCAGGGTTTTCCCCAACATCTTCCCAGCTTTCTTCATCCTCGACATCAACTAACAGGGGAAAATAAGAGGTCAACATCTTGAACATGGGAATAGTCACTGCAGTAATCTAGCAGCATCTTATGGCCAATTAAGAGCATGAAGTTTTATTTGTATTTTCCATTTTCAAATCCCGCTATAATTTAAACTCCTTCAATATTAAAGGGTTTGCATTTTAATATTCAAAGTTAAAATAACCTTTTTCTTATTATATTTTTTAAAACTAAAACTTGCTTTTCTTTATCTCCTTGAGATGAAACTCATTGGGGGAAATAGGTAAAATGAAACAACAGGTTATGCCAACCTTAATCACAGTTAATATGTCACGAACAGAGTTTGGGTAACATGGATAGCTATAAACTACCCCTTATATGTCATGGTGATGTCATTTGCACAATAGGCTGAAAACAAGAATACAATATGGTTCAAAAGGCATATGGAAATGATGTAAATATGCGAGCTCACTTCTAAAGTAAATTCACATGGTTATGAAATGAGTGGTTGCAAGTCAAAGATGACCTACTACTGATTCTTATTGTAATTTTCTAATTATCAAGTTCAGGACAAGGAAACATAACACAATATATTTGTGTTTCTCAGCCTGGACAACTTTAACATGGGTGGATTTCACCTCCCAGAACTCCCCAGTCAGCAAACAGGTTTTCCCCCCTCACCTTCAAGTTTACGAATCCCTAACTACTACTACTACTACTACTACTACTACTACTCTTACTACTACTCTTCTTTTCCTCCTCCTCCTCTTCTTTCTCCTCCTCCTCCTTCTCCTTTTTCATCCTCTTCTCCATCTTCTTCCTCTTCTTGTCTTCTCTTCCTCCTCCTCCTCCTCTTTCCCTTCTCTCCCTCCCTCTCCTTCCTTCCTTCCTTCCTTCCTTCCTTCCTTCTTTCCTTCCTTCCTTCCTTCCTTCCTTCCTTCCTTCCTTCCTTCCTTCCTTCCTTCCTTCCTTCCTTCCTTTGGAGATGAATGGCCCATGGTGAGAGGGGCATTCTGGGAGTTGAAATCCACCATCTTAAAATTGCCACGGAAGAGGAAACACTGCAACGAATATTTCACCAAACAGAACTGACCTAGTTCCAAAATGTCTCTGGGCAAATGACCTTTTCTGGATGCAGAGGCGGGAGATCTTCTGAAATGAAACAACACAGAACAACCACGTGGTCAGATCTGATCAGAGACATGACTAGAACAAAAGGAGGATCGAAGCCAGGCTCAAAACATCCTGTGAGCCAATTTCAGAGGCTGGGACTTTCAATTCTGAAGGCAGAGCTAGAAAACTTAATTCTCAGAACTTCACGCTCACCATATAATGAAACTTAGCACATGGTGGACCTTAGCACATGGGATTAACGTGGTGGTTACTCCTTGAAAGATGCTTTTGAACAAGGCTACTGGCCTTGGGGATCTTAAAATGTTCCACCAAAACACAAAACTTTCCAAAACTTTCCAAATCAATTCTGGCTGCACATTTGCAATTCGTATTTTAACCTTTGTGCAAAAACTGTCGGTGCTTGTTTACTATTGTTATGCTTAGGCTGTCTGAGCCACTTCCAAATATTATCGGGTGGATTTTGGCTCTTATTGCCTTCGCAACTAATCTTGTACGCCTCAAAGTCACAAAATCCATCTTCCTTTGTCTGTCTATACAAGGTGCCTGAAAGTTGAGTCATGGCAAATGAACTTATTTCCTTGTGGATTTGTGATGTTTCGCTGCCCACCCTAGCAGCTTCAGAACAGGTTCGTTAGCTAGAGAGTTGTTGGGGTGTACCAACTTCCTCCTCTACAAAACACCTGTTGTATTTCTCCAAAGTACAGCATCTATGTACAACCTGTTTCTTCGTTATCCAGGATAACACAGGGCCATGTTTTTCATGCTGGCTCTAAAGTCCTTGAATGCTGGACTGCTTCCCCACTGGTCCAAAGCATATCTCGGCACGAGATTTACAGCAAGTCCTCAACTTACAACAGTTCATTTAGTGACCGTTCAAACTTGCAATGGCACTAAAAAAAGGGGGGGGACTTATGACCATTTTTTGCATCTACAACCATTACAGCATCATTTGCAGTTATAAGATTGAGATTCAGATCTTTGGCAACTGACTTGTATTTATGACCGTTGCAGTGTCCCGGGGTCACACGATCCCCTTTTGCGACCTTCTGACAAACAAAATCAATGGGAGAAGCCCAGATTCACTTAACAACCATGTGACTCACTTAACAGCCGTGGTTAACAATTGTGGCAAGAAAGGCCATAAAATGGGGCAACATTCACCTAACAAATGTCTCACTTAGCAATTTAAATTTTGGCCTAAGTTAAGGTCCAAGTTTGAGGACTACCTGTACAGGTAAGTCCTTGACTAACAACCACAATCGGGGGGGCAGAATTTCCATTGCTAAACAAGGCGGTTGTTGAAGTGAATTGTACCCAATGTTGTGACTTTTTTTAAGCACGGTTATTAAGCAAATCACCACAGTTGTTAAGTGAGTCAGGCAGTTGTTAAGCAAATTCAGCATCTCCCATTGAGTCTGCTTGCCGGAAGCCAGCGGAGAAGGTCGCAAACGGGGGTCATGTGACTTCGGGGGTTTTGCATGTGCTGTAAACACAGTGCCCTTAGCCCAGTGCCCGGATTTTGGTCATGTGACCATGCAGGAATGTTGCAACAGTGGTAAGTGGGGAAACAGGCACAATTCCCCCCCCCCCCCCCCCCCCCAGTGCTGTTGCAACTTCAATGGGTCGCTAAACAAACGGTTGTAGGTCGAGGACTACCTGTAGCTGTAAGTCACTTTTTTTCAGTGCCGTTGTAACTTTGGCCACTAAGCAAGGGATTGTAAGTCAAGGACTACTTGTATCCTGGGCATCCGTATCAAATTTGGACATTGTTCGCCCAAATTACAATCGTTATGTAGAAAGTTAGCCACCCACCCCTCCCCTAGAAGAATGAAATATTCTAGTAAATATTAAAAAGGCGGGATATCATATTTCCCCTGGATGAAGAAAAGGAGAAATGTTTTTTTAAAGACCAAGCAGCTCCCTGCAGCTCCCCCTTCAGCTCCAGGGTGATGGGATTAAAGACATTGGCCCTCAGGAAATGACAGGATTACCCATCTCACCACGTGGCACCTGGGAAGACTGCATCAGCCAGCACTCAGGTGAAGCCATGGGGTCCGGATAAAGCCTACAAAGTTAGCTAAGACCCCGCCCCTGGGAGTCTGACAGCCAATGGGATACGTTTCTTGCACAGGGACAGGAAGCCCCCAACAGCAGGTATGAAACCAGGGGATTCTCAGCCTCTCTTCCCTTTTTCCGCCCAGGAGCTCCGAGGCACGTGGTCCTGTCCACCATTAAACCTTCTTTCCAAGCAACTTCCGTGAATCCAGCCGTCTTTCTTCCCCACTTGGAACTGAACCCAGAGGGATAATTATAGTTCCATTAGGGAGGGAGGAGGGAAGATAAAAGAGGGAGGGGAAGGAAGGAAGGAAAGAAGGAAGATAAGAGAGAGAGAAAGGAAGTTAAGAGAGAGGGAGGGAGGGAGGGAGGGAGGGAGGAAGATAAGAGAGAGAAAGATGAGAGAGGAAGGAAGGAAGGAAAGAGAGAGGGGGAGGGGAAAAGAAAAGATGAGAGAGAGGAAGGAAGGAAAGGGGGGGAGGGAGAGAGAGAAAGGAAAGAAGATGAGAGCGAGGAAGGAAGGTAGATAAGAGAGAGAGAGGGAGGGAGGGAAAATAAGAGAGAGAAAAAAGATGAGAGAGAGGAAGGAAGGAAGGAAAGAGAGAGAAGGAAAGAAAAGGAGGGGAGAGAGGGAGAAAGAGGAAGGGAAGGGGAGCAGTAGATGATGAAGAGAAGAGCGGGGGGGGTGGGGTGGGGGAAGGCAGGGAGGGGAAGGAAGGAGGAAAAAAAATCTAAAAGAAAATACGCCATTTCTAAGATTCCATCAAGGTAAGAGAAATCCTCAACCTTCTTTGCTGACAGCTAGGAAAAATATATATATATAAGGAATAGATTCAGGAAAAGATGACTCGGATTGAAATAACTCAATGCACAGCCCAGGATGGAGACTGATTCCCTGGTGTTACGGATGACTCACGGCTGAAGGAACAGCCCAACTCTGTATGGAAAAGCCCCATCACGATGAGCTGCGAGTAAAATGATTGAGACTCAGTAAAAATAAGTTTTGGTGTGAGATGCCACTCAGGCCTTAATCCTGGCGATGTGGACCGTAACCTAGAAATTCAGGCTTTTCTTGAGGATGCCCGTTTCTCAGCCAGTGGTTCATTACCAGACTTGTGTTTTTTTGTTTTTGCTTCTTCACTACAAGGATAAAAATAAGAACGGTGTGCAAGACAAGAAAGACTCAGACAATTATAACAGAGCTAGTCCAACCTCCAGTGATGAAACGCTCACAACTTCGGGAGACAAAGCTAATCTGCTGGCTAATTGTCTTCACTGAATTCCTGGTTGCTTCTCTCATTTCCATCCATCGTTTCTTGTCCTGACAGGCCTCGTTGCAAAATAGAAATAAGTATATCTGGAACTTCACTTGAACATCACCCCCGTCTGTGACAAAAATCCCCCACCTGTCAATTGCAAAACATGGCTTCCTTTGGCAGGATTACAGGATAACGGAGTTGGAAGGGACCTTGGAGGTCTTCTAGTCCAACCCCCCTTCTCAGGCAGGAAACCCCAAACCATTGCCCGACCTCTTCTTATAAACTTCCGGTGTTGGAGCCTTCACAGCTTACATCCTGCAAGGAGACCCTTTTAACCCACCAAACACCGACATCTGTCTAATCCAGGTCCTTGGGAAAGACTCAGTAGGTGGACAAAGGGGCCAAATCGGTCTGAACTGAGACTGTGCTATCAATCTGCTGGGCAGCTCAGTCCATCCCTGGATGTTTTCAAGAAAAGGTTGGCAGCGGCTTTGACCTGAATGGTATCGTCTTCTGCTTGGGCGCGGGGATGGACTAGAACATCTCAGGAGTCCCTGCCAGCCCTAGGATTCCACATTCCATGCTCTTGCCTGGACTAAGGCACGTTAGAAGACATTGGCCTTTTAAGTCTGAAAGTGGGATTCTGCCCTGCAAAGAAACTAGAGAGGATCCTTTCCAAGAGAGAGGAAGAGGAAGAGGAGAAGAAAAAGAAGTAGTGAAGGAAGACAGGGAGGAGGAGGAGGACAAGAGGAGGAGGAAAATAAGTAGTAGTAATGAAGAAAGACAGGGAGGAGGAAGAGAACAGGAGGAGGAAGAGGAGGAGGAAAAGAAGAAGAGGAGGAGGAGGAGGAGGAGAAGAGAAGGGAGAGAGGGAGGAGAAGAAGAAGAGGAAGAAGGAGAAGAGGAGGAGGAGGAGAAGAAGAAGAGAAGGAAGAGAGGGAGGAGGAGAAGAAGAGAAGAGGAGGAGGAAGAGGAAGAAGAAGGAGGAGGAGAAGGAGAAGAAGACGAGGAAGAAGGAAAGGGAGGAGGAGAAGGAAAAGAAGACGAAGAGGAAGGAGAAGAAGAAATATTTTGTAATCACCCCTTTACAAAAAAGATGTGGAGACTTTGGAAAAAGCGCAGAGAAGAGCAACTAAGACGATTAAAGGCCTATGAAGAACGGTTGCAGGAATTGAGTATGATTAGTCTGGAGAAAAGAAGGACTAGGGGTGGCATGATAGCAATTGTCCAATATCTAAGGGGTTAAAGAGGGGGTCAACAAAATATATATATATTTTCCAAAGCAGCGGAAGGCAGAAGAAGAAACAATGGATGGAAACTAATCACGGGGAGAAGCCATCTGGAATGAAGGAGGAACTTCTTGACAGTGAGGACAATTAACCAGTGGAACAGATGGCCACCAGATCCTCCTCCTCCTCCTCCTCCTCGGCCTGCTTGCCTGCAAGGAAATGGGCCATTGGTTTCACTTCACTGGAGGGTCCCAATTGCTGTACACACCGACCCCACCAGGCTGTGAAAAGGAAGCAATCCATCAGCCTCGCAGAAGGGGACCGGAAAAAATAGGCCATGTTGTAGAAGAAAATCCAGCTGTGCTGCCTTTGATCTCGAGATATCAGATCAGAGGCCGCCTTGACTGGAACTGCAGGAGAAACTCCTCCAGTTTCGCTCACAAAGGGCCACTTCCTCAGTCGCTTCTGTGTACAA